CTATCTATCTATCTATCTATCTATCTATCTATCTATCTATCTATCTAATAGCTTCTAATCCAAAGGTTCAAGAACTGCCATTTTTATTGCCTTGTAAAAAGGAAAAAAAAAACAACAACCCTTCTTGGAGATGTTTGCTGAGCAGATAAGAAACCAGACTGGCTAAGCTGTGATTTTCCACGGTGACCTACATGAAGGAAGCTACCTTGAACCCGGGACAGTAGCCCCACCCCCCTGCCCCATCCCAAATTTACCTTCATGAACCCCATGCCGCCCATGGTCTGGATGCATTCGTCTGCGACGTTCCAGGCAGCTTCCTGGAGGGGGGGAGGGGGGGGGGGGGGGGGGGGGGGGGGGGGGCGGGGGGGGGAAATACAGATAAAAGCAATATTGAATGAAGCGTCCGGGCTTCCTTCCTTCCCTCCTTCTTTCATTTTTTTCTGTCTTCTTTCCTCCCTCTCTTTTTCTTTCTTCCTTTGCCGTTTTTCTTTCATGTTCTTTCTTTCCTTCTTCTTCTCTCCTTTCACATTTTCTCTTTCATTCTCCTTCCTTCTAACTTGCTCTCTCCTCTTCCTACCTTCCTGTTTTTCTCTTTCATTTTCCTACCTTCTTTTTTCTTTCCCCACTTCCTCCCTTCTCCATTTTCTCTTTCTTTTTCCTTCCTTCTTTTTCACCCTACCTACCTTTCTCATTTTTCTCTTTCTTTTTCTTCCTTCCTTTTCTTTCATTTTCCTTCCTTCTCTCCCTCCTTCCTTTTTTCTTTTATTACTTCCTTCTCTTTCCTCACTTCCCCCCCTCCCCCATTTTTTCTCTTTCATTTTCCTTCCTTCCCCCTCTTTCCTTCCTCATTTTGCTTTCATTTTCCTTCCTTCCCTTTCTTCTTTCATTTTCCTTGCTTCTTTCTCTCCTTCCTTCCCTCTCTCCTTCCTTCGTTTCTCATTTTTCATTCATTTTCCTTCCTTCCTTTTTCCTTTCATTATCCTTCCTTCTCTTTCTTTCTCTTATTCCTTCTTTTTTCTTTTTCCTGCCTTTCTTCTCTCTCCTCTCTCCCCTCCCCATTTTTCTCTTTCATTTTCCTTCCTTCCCCCTATTTCCCTCATTTTTCTTTCATTTTCCTTCCTTCTTTCTTTCCCTCTTTCCTTCCTTCCTTTCATTTTCCTTCCTTCCTTCTCTCTCTCCTCTCCCTCCCCCAATTTTTCTCTTTTGTTTTCCTTCCTTCCTTTTCTCTCTCCTTCCTACCTTTCTCATTTTTCTCTTTTCATTTTCCTTCCTTCATTTTTCTTCCTCCTTCCTTCCTTCCTGATCAAAATTGGCTGGGCAGGATTCCAACTGGATCGAGGGCAGAGATCCTTCGTGGTGCCGGAAAGGATCCGTGCCCGGTGCCAGTGCCCAGCGCCAGCGCCGTGCCCTTCCTTCCTCTCCTTCCCTCTTCTCCCTTCCTCTCCTTTCCTCTTCTCCTTCCTTCCTTCCTTCCTCTCCTTTCCTCTTCTCCTTCCTTCCTTTTCTTCCTTCTTCTCCTTCCTTCCTTTTCTTCCTCCTTCCCTCTTCTCCCTTCCTTCCTTCCTCTCCTTTTTTCTTCTCCTTCCTTCCTTTTCTTCCTCCTTCCCTCTTCTTCCTTCC